TGGTTGGTTTTTGAGACAAGATTTCTCTGTGTAGCCCTGACTGTCCTGGAACTCACTCTGTAGACCAGGCTGGGCTCAAACTCAGAGATCTGCCTGCCTCTGCCTCCTGAGTATTGGGATTAAAGGCGTGTGCCACCCCCACCCCCCATGACTAATGATTGTTAAAGGTTGACTATAAACCTGGCAGTGGTGGCACACAACTCTAATCTCAGCACTCAGGAGGCAAAGGCAGGCAGATCTCTGAGTTTCAGGCCAGCCTGGTCGACAGAGTAATCTCTAGGGCAGCTAGCACTAAGTAGAAAGACACTGTCTCAATACAAACAAACAAACAAAAAACAGGAAAAAGGGTTGGGAAACACTTAGAAATAGAGATCCTACTAACTCTAACATTGAGAGCCACATGGGGAACCTTATTTGGAAACCGGGTCTGAGAGGTGAATGAGTTAAAATGGAATCATTGCTTCCCCTGGGGAGAGGGCAAGGTGTGGTCTCACACCGGGCAGAGGAGAATGCAGTGAGATGTGGGGAGGTGGAGACAAAGAGGAGAGCTAGGCAGTGCCCTGGGAGGAGAGCTAAGTGTGAGGTTGCCGCGGCAACGGAGACAGTGCGTGCCCTTTCTCCATGCCATTGCCCCCCCTACACTTGGAGGACAATGCACATGACAGATTGTATTTGGTTTGCTTCCATTCCGGCGTATCTTCGAGGTTTCCTCGTGACCATTCTCCAATAGCTGGTCCCTAGTCGACCATCCCTGCTCCTTCACCCCGCCTTGTACCCCGTCTACGTATTGCCCCGTCCCTGTCATTGTGGCAGGTTGAAGGAAGATGGTCCCCACAGGTTCATATGTGTGCACGCTTTGTCCCCAGTTAGTAAACTGTGTGGATAGATTAGGTGTGTCCTTGTTGAGGTATGTCACTGGGAACAGACTTGAGGATTCGAAAGCCCACAGCAGGCTCAACGTGTCTCTGTGTGTGTGTGTCTCTCTTTCTCTGTGTCTGTCTCTGTGTCTCTGTGTTTCTGTGTGTGTGCCTCACTGTGTGTGTCTCTCTCTCTGTCTCTCTCCCTCTCTCTCCCCACCCCTCTGCCTGTGGATCAAGATGTAGCTCTCAACTACCGTTCAATCACCATGCAGGCTCATGTGCCACCACGCTCCCCACCATGATGATTACAGACTAAGCCTCTGAAACTGTAAGCCAGTCTCTAATTAAATGCTTTCTCTTTATCAGAGTTGCCTTGGCCATGGTGTCTCCACAGCAATAGAACAGTGACTAAGACAATCGCCAAGCCCTAGATTCTGGTTGAGTTGCCCAGTGTGAGGCTACAGTGGGAAATGAGAGGAGCAGGCAGACTGGACATAGCCTTTAAAGCAGCCACACACCATGTAGCTCTGTGTCAGCCCCACCTCTCTTCCCACAGCTCCTGGGAAACCACCCCAGGTTCCATGGCCCCTGCCCTGACCAGTGCGCTTCAGAGCCCAGTTTGTGGGGGAGGGGCTGCTGGCCTCTGGGCTCTGGGGCGTGCTGTTTCTTCTTTCTAAAACATTCTACTTTTACTTTAGATGACATGTACATATGTGTGTCTGCCTGTAATTTTGCACATGTGAGTACAGTGCCCATGGCGGCCAGAAGGGGGCGCTGTCTCTCTCGGCTCTCTAGTGAGAAGCCTGAGATTAAGTTGTCCTTCGTGTCACACCCCCTCTCAAAGCTCTCTGCACACCCGGTCCGGTTTCTGGAGCTACCGTGCTTTTCTTAGGTGACATCCACCCTATATCTGCCTCCTGCTAGCTTCACTCCCTCAGAGACGAGACATAGCCACCTGGCTCTGCTCACAAACCTTCCAGATGCTCAAACTATGCCGAGCTCTAGCCGACGATCAGCTTTCCATAAACAGCTGTTGATGGCTCACCTGGCTCTTGGTGGGGAGCTTTGCAAAGGTGGGTTTGATGTGGCCTCTTTAGAAGCAAACCATGGAATGAGCAGGCTGCCTGGTTATAGCTTGGAAATTAGCTGAATATGTTCCCTGGAAGCAGTGTTTTAAAAGATTCCCGAATGGGTATATATGTGTGCATATATGCGTGTGTGTGTATGTGTGGGTGTGTGTGTGGCGCATGTGCGTGTATGAACATGTGTGCATATGTGGTACGTGTGCATGTATACTTGTGTGTGCATGTGTGTGTGTGTGAGAGAGAGAGAGAGAGAGAGAGAGCAAGCCAGAAGACAACCCCATTGTCATTCTCAGAAATATGGTCCACCGCCTTTGCAGGGTCTTTTCTGTCCTGGAACTCACTAATTAGTCTAGATTGGCTGGCCCTGGAACCCCAAGAATCCACCTACCTCCCCAGCACTGAGTTCTAGCAGGAACTACCACAGCTGGCATCTGTACGTGGGTCCTGGGTCTAACCTGGGTCCTCTCTAACCTGAGCCTTCTCCCCAGCCCCAGCAGTGACTTCTGCAGCCTTAAGTTCTGCTGGACACACAAGCTCTCTGCACCCGGCACTCAGCAAGGAAGATGTTGCTGGTCCAGGCATTGTGCTGAAGCTGGTCTTGGAGAGCAGGGGTGGCGTGGGTTCAGAGACAAAGATGGCCACCTTCACCAGCCAACAGGGAGATCCAAATCAAAGCAGCAAGAACAGCCAGCAGGACAGGTGTAATAATAAAAAAAAAAAGTGGTAGAACAGGAAATGAGAATTTTTACACGCTGCCCTCAGAAATATAACACAGTTTGAAAAACTATTGTTCACGAGTTCCTAAAGAGAGTTACGTATGTCCGAGGAATCCCACCCCAGTACCGTGCCCGTGAGAAACGAAAACATGTGTTCACATAAAGACGTGCACACAGATGATCTCAGTAACATAACTCACACAGACCGGACCCATCCCGGATGCCTTAGGCTGATGGATGAATATACAAATGTAGCCGGGTCAGACATTTAACACTAGTCAGTGGAAAGAAATAGAACGAAGAACAATTCACCCAGGGACGTGGAAGAAGCTGGGAAACAAGGTGCCAAGGGAAACCCGCCAGGAGAGGAACACGGCCATAGAGACTCTGCAGACGTTCTAGGTTCTGAGCGGGGAGGAATGATGGCTGGTGCCGGGCTTCTGGAAGAAAGCCTGAGAATGTGCTGGTTCTTTGCTTGTGTGTGATGGTTTCAGATTTGGTGTTTATGTGTGTGTGTGTTTCTTGTGTTTTTTTTTTCCTTTGATTTTTTAAAAAATTCTAATTTGTTTGGGGTTTTTGTTTGTTCTGTCTGTTTGCTTTCTACAGAGAAAGAGAAAGGGCTGGGAGTTGGTGGGGAGTTGGGAAGGATCTGGGAGGAGTGGGGGTGGGTGACCATGATCAAAATACAATAAAAATAATTTTTTTTTGTTCAATAAAAATGTTCTAAGGTTGTGATGAGTGAAAGATTGCCCATATACTAAAGACCATCAAGTCGGGCACTATTGTTTTATTTTGTGTATGGTGGGGTGTGTGTGCTATCACATGTATGTGGAGGTCTGAGAACAGCTCGCTGGCGTTGGCTCCTTCCTTCCACTATGAGGTACCAGGGCGTAAAAGGGGTAAAAATCCAGGTTGTCAGTTTTGACAGCAAGCTCCTTTACCCCACAAGCCACGTTGTCAATCGGAACCCTACACTTTGAGTAGATTGTGTGGCGTGTGCACTGTATCTTAATAAAGCTGCCAACAGGAACAAAGGACATGTGGAGGTGGGGTGAAATATCTTTTCGTTTTTCTTCCCCAAGACAGGGTTTCCCTGTGCAACAGCCCTGGCTGTCCTGGAACTCGCTCTGTAGACCAGACTGGCCTCAAACTCACAGAGATCTGACTGCTGCCTGTCTCTGCCTCCTGAGTGCTGGGATTAAATTCACCACCATCACCCACTGGTGAAGGAATGTCTTTTAGAAGAAAATTGCAAAGGCTTTATGGCAAGACGCAGGGTTCAGCTAAGGCATAGTGGTTAACGAGAGTAGATGACCTCTCCATCAGGGGTGTCCATCTAAAACCTCCCTTGCCTAAGAACAGGTCCAGAGAAGGCTTTGAAATGCAATGGAACGTGTTAAGAACTGAACAGTCTTATGCCCTTGGGCCCTAGGATAAAACCCATCTAACTGCAGCAGGCACAAAGCCCACAGAGGCAAGTCTGGCCAAGAACTCAGCCCCGAGGCTGGCAGATGAGGGGTTAAAAAGGTTCCCCAGAGAGCCCTGGGATGCCTGTAAGGTTATAGGCTGTTGGTAATCTTTGTGAGGCTTGGCGTTCTAATCTCCTAATCTCTGTCTTTCTACTTAGCACCTACAAGGCTTGAATCGAGAAGCACCATTCAACAGGTCCTCGTTCACCTGCCTGCAAAACAGGGCTGTTGTCGCCAACGCTCACACTATAACAATATTCACAGGACGTGCTCAGTCATTGAGTCAGTGCCTGGCAGTTTCTCTATATAAAAAGGGGGCTGCTGAGATGGCTCAGCCCGTTAAGGGGCTTTGCCGCCAAATTTGACGATCTGACTTTGATCCCCGAGACCCACTGCTAGCAGTCCTCCGGCGGTCACATGTGAACCCTGGAACATGTGCACATACATATGTACACATATATACACATATATGCACAATAAACAAATGTGAAAAGGGGTTCTTCTGTGTAACAGCCAGAGAATTCTATCTGTAGACCACACTTGTTTTGAGCTCCGCCAACCTCTGCCTCCGGAGTGTAGTGTGAGCACCACCAGTCGGGGGAAAAAAAAAAGTTTTTCTTAAGCAAAAGTCCCCACTCTTTCTCAGCGTCACCCTGCGGGTTTTGGGCACTGGCGCCCCTGCCGGCCTTACCGAGCATTGTCATCTCCAGGATTCGCAGAAGAAACTGCGCCTGCGCAAAATGCGCTCAGCTCTCTCTCTCTCTCTCTCTCTCTCTCTCTCTCTCTCTCTCTCCCTCCCTCCCTCCCCTCTCGTCCCCCCCCACCCGCGGGCGTGACTTCGCGGGAGACGCTCTAATGAGGCCACGCCCACTTCCGGGCGGAACCTGGCGGGGGCCACTTGACGCGCCAAAGATGGCGGCGCCCAGTGAGGTGGCGTGAAAGTTGTGGGAAGTCGGCGTGGCGGGGTTCGTGAATCAGAAGCGTGAAGGACCTAGGAACCATGTCGCGACTGATCGTGAAGAACCTCCCTAATGGGGTGAGCAGGAGCCGTGGGAGGGTTCCGGAAGTGAATGAGGCGGGAGGATGGAGGGATTCTTAAGTCTGAGGCAGGACTGGCACCCGGTAGGCAGGCATTCGGTAACTGCGTGCCGTGCGGGGTCAAGGAGGAAACCAGCGCGCGTATGTGGTGACAGGCGACCAGATGGACACTCAGAGGACCCCTCCTTGTGGCGGTTAATTTTGGTTAACTTAACACAAATCGGAGTCACTTAGAAAGAGGGAATTTCAGTTGATGAATTGCTTCTATATGATTGCCCCGTGGACAAGTCTGTGAGACATTGATGGGTGATTGACGTGGGAGGGCCTAGCTCGCTGTGGGTGGTGTCACCTCTCGACAGCATAAAAATGCTAGCTGAGCAAGTAAGTCTGCAGAGTGCCTCAGTGGTCTCTGCTTCAGTCCCTGCCTTGGCTTCCCTGGACGTGTGATTGGGACCTGTAAGCCAACTAAGCCATTGTTCTCCCTAAGTTGCTTTCGGTCTTGCTGTGGATGGCAACAGCAGGAAGCAGACCAGAACACTTACTGTTCCACTATCACGGAGCAAGCTCAGCTCCATACTTGTTTCCAAGCCAAGTGTGGTGGCACACGCCCACTGTCAGCTTTCAATAGGATGGCAAGTAAGAGGCCAACCTGGGTTACATAGCAAGATATGGCAAAAACAAATAAGCAAACAAATAAATAAATGAATTTGTTTGGGCCGCATGCCCCTAGAGCAGTGGTTCTGAGCCTTCCTAAAGCTGCAACCCCTTAAATACAGTTCCTCATGTTCTGGCGAAACCCCCCCTCCCACCATAAAATTATTTTGTTGCTCGTTCATAACTATCATCTTGATACTGTTATAAATTGTAATGTAAATATCTGATGTTCAGGATATGTGATACGCATCCCACAACGCGGGCTGCAACAGGCACGTTGAGAACCACTGCCCTCAAGCCGCACACGGAAGTCTGGCTTGTTGAGAATAATAGCAGCCAGCTATCTACACTGTGGGATATTTTAGCCACATTATAGTAGTAACATGTTAATTTTCCATTCCTTCCCTGATAAAGTGGTTGAAACAACATTGGTATTTTGGGTTTTCTTGGTTTTTCGAGACAGGGTTTCTCTGTAGCTTTGGAGCCTGTCCTGAAACTAGCTCTTGTAGACCAAGCTGACTTCAAACTCACAGAGATCCTCCTGCCTCTGCCTCCCGAGTGCTGGGATTAAAGGCGTGCGCCACCACCGCCCGGCGGTATTTTGTATTTTTATTTTTATAATCTCAGAGGTCAGGAAGCCTAATGTCAAGGTATTGTCAGGCACTGACAGCTGGTGGAGGTGTCTAGCCTTTCGACATGACAGCACCATGGCCGCCGGTGGGTCTTCTTAGGGTTCTTCAGCATGTGCTGGCCATTGCCCTCTGTGACTCACATTCACTTCTGTCACCCCATCCTTCAAGTCTAGATCACCTGGTCTGATTCTCTCCCACCATCTAGTCTTCCTCACTCTGAGCCTCCGACCTCACTGATGGCGGTGAAGTACCAGAAGATAGATCCAGGGTGCTCTACCGCATTGGAATTTTGGTTTTGAACCCCAGTCTTAGTCAGGCAGTGGTAGCCACGCCTTTAATCCCAGCATTTGGGAGGCAGAGACTGGAGGCTGTGAGTTCAAGGTCAGCCTGGACTACAGAGTGGGTTCCAGGACAGCCAAGGCTATGCAGAGAAACCCTGTCTTGAAAAACAAAACCAGAAAGAGACAGACAAACAGAACCTTAGTTTGTAGCCCAGACTGATCTTGAATTTGCCATCCTCCTGCCTCTGCCTCTGCCTCGCCATACACAACTTCATCTCAGGATTCTTTTCTTTTCAGAGAAAGGGTCTGGTTAGTAGCCCTAGCTGTCCTGGAACTTGACATGTAGACCAGGCTGGCGTGAAATTTAAGAAATCTAACTCGTAGGCCCCCAGAATCCTAAAATTAAAAGTGCACATCACCATCACTGGCTTCATCACCAGGGTTTAAACATGCCTGAACTATCCCTTTTGAAATACCTGGGTGTGGTGGAGCATGCCTGTTGGGACTGGGAAGGAAGGCAGATGGATCTCTAGTTAGAGGCCAGCCAGGGCTACATACTCCCCTTTGCAGTGAGCCTCGGTGCAGCCCCAGGTGCTGGGGATCAGGGTGTGGTTGTCTTTAATGGGCTCCATTCTTCCCTCTCATGGTTAGTAAACATTTACATAGCTTCCCTTGTCTGTTTACTTGGAAAAGCCTCAGCCACAGATAGATGCTGTGATTGATGTGGACCTCACAGGGCCCGAGATAAGACAGAACACTTGAGGTGCCCTGGGGTCTCATTCCCTCACTAAAGTGGTAACCTGCTCATGGCACTCAGCTGGCATCAGGCTCCATGTTCCCGTCTTTCCATCTCAGGTCGCCCTCCAGGTGACCTCCAGGTCCTCTAGGCGTCCAACTTGTCTGTCCCTTTGCTCCGGGGATGCCCAGCTCTTCATCGTGCCCCTTCTCCCCTAGATGAAAGAGGAGCGATTCCGGCAGTTGTTTGCCGCCTTTGGCGCACTGACTGACTGCAGCCTTAAGTTCACCAAAGACGGCAAGTTCCGCAAGTTCGGCTTTATAGGCTTCAAGTCGGAGGAGGAGGCGCAGGCAGCACTGCGCCATTTCAACCGGAGTTTTATCGACACATCCCGGATCACGGTGAGTCTGAGAGTGTCTCATCCTGCCTGCCGTAGAGAGTTTGCCTTGCCTCAGGACTTCCCAAGCTCTCAAGAGCCCAAGCATCATTTCCTGAGAATCTGCTAACTGTTCCCTCTCCAGAGTGTCTGATGAGTTAAAGCTTTTGGCTTTCACTGTACTCTTCTCTGTTGTTCGACCTTTGTACCCTGAACATGTTATAAGTACGGTAGAATCGATAGAAACAGTCACTTCTAAAGGGATGTCACTGGGATAAAGTGGTTTGCTAACTGGTAACAGCCTGGAATGTCTGGGGGTGGCTCATGGGTGTCCCCCCCCCACAAAGCTGCCTCTAAGAATGTACCTGAGGTGACGGGGCTGACTGCCACATTGGTTCACGCGTGGTCCCTGGTGTTCTTCTGCACTCCTGTTGTCACCCTGACAGCCACCATTTGTTGTTGCCCTATGCCAGGCAGGTGCTGCCCCCCCCCCAACATCCTTTGTTAGCCTAGGGGGTGAATGTGGGTTCCCAATCCCCATGTGCCCCAAGTTCCATCTCTGCTCTGTCGTCACCTGCTTCCTGGGCCCCCCAGTCTCTGTCTTAACCTTTTGGTGTGAGCAGAGGGGGCAGCATCATTTCCTGTCACCTACTGGAGAGCATGATAGGCAGAGCTAGTCCTCTGAATGGCAGTGGCCAGAAGGACTTTTTGGAGGACGATGTCTAGATTGGATAGATCGTTTTAATCCACTCAGCAAGTCAGTGACCACTGCATTCTGGGAAACCCACCCCCCTGGAGCTGAAGGGGTCATACACATGCCTGGGTGTCACAGCAGCTGTGGAAGCCAGCTCTTTTCCCCATACAGGTGGAATTCTGCAAGTCCTTTGGAGACCCAACGAAACCCCGAGCCTGGAGCAAACATGCCCAGAAGCCTAGCCAGCCCAAGCAGTCATCACAAGACTCCGTTCCCTCAGATACTAAAAAAGTATGCAGGCGGTGTCCCCAGCCCTCTGCCCAGTGTTGACAGGGTGGCCTCTGGCTGGGAGGGAGTGGGAAGTATCTTTCGGGTGGTTTTGGAAGGTGGGCATGCCTGGGATAGTGCACTTTGTCTTCCTGCCTCCATCTTTGCCGTGACCCTGTCTGCCTTCCGCTTTCAGAATGACAAAAAGAAAAAGGTGCCCAGTGACCTAGAGAAGGTAAGTGTTCTGTGTGGGTGGAGGGGAGGGGTGGTGCTGTGAACCCTGAGAGGGTGGAGGGCCGGAGAGCCTCTGCCTCACCTCTCTCTTTCCTGCCTCTTCTCCCCCCCCCCCCCCCCCGCCCCGCTGACTGCCACAGCTGAAGGAAGATGCCGAGTTCCAGGAGTTCCTGTCGATTCACCAGAAGAGGGCCCAAGTGGCCACGTGGGCAAACGATGCTCTGAACACTGAGCTCCCGAGAGCAAAGACCAAGCCAGCGAGTGACTATCTGAACTTCGACTCCGACTCAGACTCAGGGCAGGAGAGTGAGGAGGAGCCAACTGGAGAGGAACCTGAAGGTGAGCGTACACTCCAGGTACACATGGGCCTTGCCTTGCCCTGACCGGATGGGCACAAGGACAATGTCTTTGGCACACTTTGAGTGATAACTCTCTGGTGACAAGGGCTCCAGAAAGGAATAGCCAGGTGCTTCCCTCCAGACAGCTGTGGGATGAGCAGCCCGCCCACAGGTGTGTCTCCCCCAGGCCGATCTGGTCACCTGACTCAGCCAGTATTCACGGAGCATGTACAGTATGCCGGCACAGCTTTGGGGACTGTGGACACAGCAGTGAGACAAGACCCCAAGGATCCCTGAACCTGTGCAGTAAGAGCAGAGGGGCAGAGACAGGTGGTTTCCAGTTGAGCAGGTGTGGTGACAGCGTGTGGGAAAGCTTCCCAGAAGGGCGCCTGCTGCTCTGGGGGATAGTGGTAGGGTGTCCTGTCCTCATGGGCCCTGCTGTGGCTGCTGAGTAGCCAATCAGAGCACAGAGCGTAGGCCCTAAGTCCTGCGGTCCACTGTAAGCTGTTCTGGTTTATTGGTGAGGATGTGGGACTAACTCAGCTCAGCCTGGTTAAGTCTGCTGGGCTGAGGAATGTGAGACTGAGGGCGGGGAGGCAGGGGAAGTGGGGAACAGCCTTGGAGAGGCTCAAAGGAAGGGACGGCCCAGGAGCTGGAGAGGAGCCTGGTTACGGGTTAAGGCAGAGGGAGCCAAAGGAAGGAGTTGGAACTCCACTGGAAGGTGCTGAGCAGAGGTGTAGCCCCATGGTGTGCTCAGGGCTCACACAGGCTGCAGCATAAGGGGTGGCCGTCCCTCCTCTGCTCAGGCACGTGTCCCTTTCCTGCTTCTTCTCCCCCAGCTCTTGCCATCCGAGTCTGTCGCACCAGGTGCCCTCTGTACTTTAGTGCAAACTGTACTGTTCACCAGGGACACCAAGGACAAAGTGACAGGCGTGCAGCACAGACACATGCAGAAGCCTAGTGTCTGACAAGGATTGTAATCCGCACTGTTGTGGAATTTGCTGAACCAGGAGATGATAGTAGTCTCTACTATGAGCTGTGTTGTGTGTATTACTTTAATATTGTTTAAAGAGTAACGTAAAGGGAGGATCTTGGGCAGCTGGGGTGATTGTCTCAGCACTTGACTCCTCATCCAGATCTGAGTTCAGTTCCCAACGTCCACACCATGGCTCACATTGACCTGTAACTCCAGCCCAAGGGGCTCTGCTGCCCCCAGCTGGCACCTGTGGGCACTGCACTCATGTTCTCATGTTCACACACAGACACATGTGTGACTAAATCTTATCAGGGAGGAGGGACTGGAAGGGAGCAACACATCTCCGTGTGTCATGGGCAGGATGGAAAGACATGCAAAGTCACGTGTGGCCTGAGTCAGCGCCAGATGTTGATCAGAGTGGATTTGTGTGAAGGCCATGGGCCATGGCGGGCGTGTTGTCTCTGCTCACTAAGGCCGCTGACCCTCTGTGTCCCCAGAGGAGCAAGGCCTGCAGACAAAGGCAGCCACGCAGAAGGAACTGTCCGACATGGACTACCTGAAGTCCAAGATGGTGCGGCGGGCTGAGGTGTCCTCCGAGGACGAGGACAGCGAGGACGAGGCGGTGAACTGTGAGGCGGGCAGCGAGGCTGAGGAGGAGGAGGGGGGCTCCCCTGCCTCCCCAGTCCCACAGAAGAGTACGAGCAGGGCAGCCGCCGCTGACAAGGTGCGTGTTCAGCTGTGAGGGCTGAGGGAGAGACTGGGCCTGGGTCACCCAGGGTCACTGCAGCCCCTTTCCTAGGGACCTGCCTGGGAGGGAAGGCCACTTAGCCACAGGATGTCTTTACAGCCTAGGTCCCTGAGCTGGAGAGGGGAGGCCGCCTGTTGCTGGAGATGTGGGGTGTTCATGAGCTGGAGAGGGGAGGCCGCCTGTTGCTGGAGATGTGGGGTGTTCATGAGCTGGAGAGGGGAGGCCGCCTGTTGCTGAAGATGGGGGTGTCCATGAGCTGGGTGGGTCTTGCCACGTATTTAGCAACAAGATGGAGAGATGTAAGGAAGCCTGTCACTCAGATGAAGTCAGGGAGGGCTCACTGCATGCTGGGTAATGTCCTCGGCAAGTCACTGGTTCTTCTTACAGTCCTCTGCGCAGGTGAGGAAGCGGGGCTCGGGAGGGGCAGTGACTCACCCTTGGTCATGACTGGCAGATGATGGGGCCGGGACTCTGGAGCTGAGATTTCAAAGATGACTGAGACCTTGAGGATGCTCCCTCCCCTAATCTCCACTAGAAGGTCCTCTGTGCTGCAGAGACAGGACATGTGGACGCTTGGGCGGGACCGCATGTCCTCCCCAGGACCGTCCCATCTCCTGCCCTGCTCTTAATTTGCTGCCAGTTCAAACCAACAGGCCCTGTCCCCCTGGGTGAGATGCATCCACCTCTCTGCCCTCTAATCTCCACCTTGCCTCATGGCATGTTTCCCTGCAGGGCCAGGATTGGGCCGTTCAGTTTCAAGAGGATGACTGTGGTATAGTCACCATGCATGCATCCTTCAGCTGAAGCCAGGGAGGCCCTTGGGGTTCATGTGATGAAGGAATTCGGGGGTACACAGCAGCCCAGGACAGGCTTTTGAGCTTCAGAGAGACCAAGAGCAGAGGTTCTTTGGAGTTGTTGGAACACCAGAACTCTGGGCGTGATCTCAGCACCCCCGTGGAGTTGTACTGCCCAGCCTAGCACTGGAACGTGCTGGGCAGTGTGTGGCACAGGCCAAGCTCAGCCACTGGAGTATGCCTCATTTTCCCTGGGGCCAAGGCCTCTGTCTGTGCGCCACGGCTCGCCAGGCTCTGCCTGCAGCCCTCCTCTCGGGTGTAGGGAAGGCTCCGCAGCTGCCTGTCCACCTCCATCTGGGTTCAGCTCACAACAGGCACAGATTCTCGTAGAGTTGTCCAGCTTCCCCAGCAGCAGGTGCCCCTTCTAGCTCCGGTGTGCCCCAGCCACCACCTGCCATGTGGGTTCAGGTACTCACCACATCTGTCATCACTCAGGTAGAGAAACCAGTTGGCAAGAAGGAACCCACCACGCCTTACACCGTGAAGCTCCGGGGAGCCCCCTTCAATGTCACGGAGGTGTGTGTTCACGGAAGACAGGATGCAGAGGACAGTGGGGGTGCCAGGATGAGGCGAAGCCGTGAGCTAGCAGTGGGTGTGGAGCTGTGGAGTCACATCCCAGAGGGGAGGCCGGGGTGGACAGGCTCACTGTCTAAAAGCGAGGGACACGGGGATGGAGAGGCAGCTCAGGGGTCAGAGTGCTTGCTTTGCAAGTATGAGGATCTCCGTTCAAGCCCCAGGATAGAGAAAAGTAAATCAGATCCATGATGTTACTGCTAACTTAGCAGACACGGTGAGATCAGTTATCAGGTGTTTACTTCTCTTGTTTTGAGAACCTGGGGGCAAGCGCACGGCCACTAAGCTATGTCCCTGATCAGGTTGTCACGTGCTTGGAACCCTAAGAGAAAGTGTTAGAGAACTGTCACTGTCCAGTTGCTAATTATTAATTGTTCAGAGAAGTATTTCACTGATAAAAAGTGAAGACAGAAGGGAAAACACATTTCTTTTCCTCCCAGAAAAACGTTATGGAGTTCCTGGCGCCCCTGAAGCCAACGGCCATTCGAATAATGAGAAATGCCCACGGGAACAAAACAGGTGAGGCAGAGGCTGCCCTGCCCCACAGCCCCGAGACTGCTGGCCACGGGCTGCCCTGGGGACACCCATTTCTTTTTTGCCATCTGTTGCCCTCAGTTCCGCATAGTTCATCTGCATAGACAGGGTCTCCTAGCCCTGCGTCTGGTGGCCCGGTGCACTGACTCCTTTCCCTCTGTCTCCCTCCCTCTCCACTCCACTACCCTGGCAGGCTCACATGCCCCGTTGGTAGATGCGAATGGGCCCAGGGTTGGCTGCACTGCCCATAGGCATGTCTGACAGAGGACAGTTCTACCTTGCTGAGTGTATGTGGCATGGCCTTGGGCCATGTCTTCCCAGGATTCCACTCTGGTCAGCCAGGGTCTCCTCGTCTCAGAGCACTGTATTGGACAGTCATAAGGCAGAGAGTTTGGTGATTGACCAGACTTGGAGCTGGGGTAGTCTGGCACCTGTGGGGCCTACCTACTGGCCAGGCCAGGAGGCTATGGGAGATGCAGCAGCAGGAATGTAGCTGAATCTCACAGAGTCACACCAAGGTCCTGTGGTGTGGGAATCCACAGCCTGCAGGCTGTGAGGGTCCTTGGCAGGAAAAGGCCACCTGGGCACTTTTATCCCACTGAGGAATAAAGCGCTCATGCATTAGGGACAGTTAGGTCACTGTCCCATGTCTTGCCCCAATACCCCTCTGACTTCATCACATCTTGTACCAAGCCAGTTCTCATGTTTAATCCTGAAGAGGGCAGTGGGGGTTAAAGGGGCTCCATCCCAGCTAAGCAGCATAGAAGCCCTGTCACCTCAATCCCTGTGAACTGTGGGGTGGGCCTGTCACCCAGAAGTGAGGAGCCCAGGAGCTAACACCGAGAGCTGCTTTGCCCGCTCCATGAGAACTGTGGCAGCGTTAGTCTGTGGCTGAGGGCGATGCCCCTGTTTTATAGACTGGACAAGGGAGCTGGAGGCAGTGTGTCCGAGCTGTCACAGCCAGGACCAGCCTGGAGCACGGTCCCTCCAGGGCAGCAAGCAGGACTCAACCATGCATGGAGGGGTCCCTTAGCTGGGCTGGCAGGGCGTGGGCCACTGTCCCTGGGAGATGCGTGGAGGATGAAAGGGATGAAGGCTATTTGTTGGTAGGTGATGTCCCTGCAGAGAACAGAACAGAAAGGACTTCCTCAGATTTCATGTGGAAAACCCTTGGCCTTTGGGCCAGGTTGTAGCAATCCCCATCAGATAGCCATGTGACATTGGGTGTGTGACTTAACTATTCTGAGAGAGGGTGGCCCTGCTCTGCTGCCTCACAGGGTCAGGAAAGATTCCAGATCTGAGCTCCAGGGACAGTGGCCATGGAAGTGCCCCTGACTATGCTGAACTGAGTCACAGCACTGCCTCCACTGACACTTCTCTAGGGAATGTTCAGGAACAGAGTGGGGCTGGTGGGCAGGAAGGCCATGCTGTGTAGTCGGGTTTTTTTTTTTTTTTTTCCACATCCAGCTCTCAAAAAAATACAGGGATGTAAAAGGAATGGCGGGCTGCAGTGAGCTTTACCCGAAATAATTACATGGAAACTGTATTCATTTAAAACACTGCCTGACCCATTACCTCCAGCCCCTTATTGGCTAACTTTCACATATTGATTCAACCCATTTCTAATAATCTGTATGTCACTACGAGGTCGTGGCTTACCGGGAAAGATTCAGCATGTCTGACCTGGCAGCTTCATGGCGGGCAGCTCTCTGCCTCTCCTTTCTTCCTCCCAGAATTCAGTTCTGTCTTCCCCGCCTACCTATGTTCTGACCTATCAGGCCAGGCAGTTTTCTTTATTAATTAACCACTGAAAGCAACAGATAGATAGAAAACCCACCTACATCACAGGGAGACTTATTCTCTTATTCTCTACTTATAAATGCCCGGCCTTAGCTTGGCTTGTTTCCAGCCAGCTTTTCTAACCTAAATCACCCTGTTTCTCATTAACTGTGCTTTGCTGCTGGATTTTCTTTATTCTGTATATCACCCTTTCCTTCTACTCCATGGCCCCTTGCTTCCTCCTCTCCTTCTTTCCTCACTCCTCCCAGAAGTCTTTGCTTTCTCCTCCTGTTTATTCTCTCTGCCCAGCCCTGTCTATCCCTCTCCTGCCTTGCTATTGGCCATTTAGCTCTTTATTAGAACAATTGGGTGTTTTAGGCAGGCAAAGTAACACAGCTTCGCAGAGTTAAACCAACAAAACATAAAAGGATGCAGCGCACCTTTGCGTCGTTAAACACATGTTTCACAGCGTAAACGATGGAACCGTCTGAAGCTAGCGTTCCACAACCATGGCATTCACTCCCGGGACCCACATCTCCATACAGACAGGTTTTCCAGCTCTGCCCGTGACTCTCCTTGTCACTGTCCTCTCTCAGGGTGTGTCTTCGTGGACCTCAGCAGCGAAGAAGACGTGAAGAAAGCTCTGAAGTGCAACCGGGAATACATGGGTAAGAGTGTGTGGGACGTCAGTGAGGGTCGTCCCTGTGTTGCCTGTACACGTAGTGCTGAAACACCTATGGGCTCTGGGGACCCAACAGGGAGCAGAGAGTCCGCAGCCAGAGTGAGCACGGGAAAGGGAAGGGAGAAATGGCACATAATGCCATTCACCTGAGTGACATGCAGGGGGCAGGCCGTGCTAACCTGAGCTCAGCTCCTTGGAACAGCCTGTGGCACTGGCTAACTTGGGAGGACATGTCCTTACCCATCCCAGCATGGTCAAGTGGTCCAGAGGCAGATGTGGGCCATTGCCAGGAGAGTCGCACTGAGGGAGGACGGGGTTCCCGTGAGCAGGTCAGGTGGTGGTTTCTGATGGAGCACTGAGTGGATTGGGAGGACGGGCACGTGGCATGCGTGGTGCGTTCTATGGGTCACCCAGTGTCCCAGGTCGGGTTGTCATGTGAAACTTTCCCAAGGCAGATCAGCCAGCGGGGAGGCCCCAGGACGCAGCTGCTGGCTCCTGTAGTTTGGAATGGCACTGTAAGCTCCTCAGGGCTGTGGCAGCACTGCCCAGGCGAGCAAGATCCCAGTGGATCCAGATGCAGCCTGGGGAACAGTCCGCTGCAGATAAAAACATCCACAGAGACACAGGCTCTGGACAGCAGCAGAGCAGAGGCTAATGACACCCTCGGAAGCTCAGCCAACTTGCGGCACATACAGGCATGGCCCCTGTCTTCATGTAGGTGGACGCTATATTGAGGTCTTCAGGGAGAAGGCCCCCAAGGCCCACAGTCCCCCAAAGAGCAGCAGCACCACACCCTGGAAGAGCCGCACGCTCGGGGAACATGAGGAGGAGGAAGACCTGGCCGACTCCGGGAGGCTCTTCGTGCGGAACCTGTCCTACACCAGCTCCGAGGAAGACTTGGAGAAGCTGTTCTCTGCCTATGGTGGGTGCTGCGTCCACTTGGTCTTGGGTGGGATTTGCTTCCATTGTCTAGAGGCTCCTCTGCTGTGTGGATGGGCCTCTGTCCTCTCCCAGAGTGGAGTGGAGGGAGAGTGGTGTCTCAGGCTGGCGACACTGCGTCCCATCCTTAATAGACACCCAGGCACCTGGCTGTCAGAAGTCTTTTTTGTTTTAGAAACAAAAATCGTGCTATATTGCCCAGGCTGGCCTTGAATTTGCAGCAGTCCTCCTGCCTCAGCCTCCTGGGTGCAGGTGTTACCAGCATGTACTACAGTGCCTTTTTTCTTCTAAGACACGGTTTCTCTGTGTAGTCCTGGCTGGCCTGGAACTCACTCTGTCGACCAGGCTGGCCTCGAGATCTACCTACCTCTGCCACTGGAGTGTGGTATTAAAGATGCCCAGCATGAGGCTGGTTTTTTTTGTTGGGTGTATAATGCTGTTATTAAAGGGATCCTTTGGTCTCCTCCAGTCTCAACCCTGGTTTTAGCTTTTAAAAGAGAATCAAGGAGTCAGGAGTTTAAATAAAATAAGGAGGAAGCAGGAATACCCCTTAGCAAATGAAGGAGCCAAGCCCAGCAGCAGTGGTTCTGGTTGTAGCAGGTCCTAGGTCCCTCCTCCTGTGCTGTTCTCTCCTCTGTGCCCCGCCCCCCGGGTGGTCACTCCCAGGTAAAGAACACCTTCTCCTTAAAAGCCTGGATCTCGGCTGTTATAAGTGGATGCATAAACTATGGCTGGGCCCAGAGGCACACACCCTTCAGCCTTTAATGGCAGTACTCAGGAGGCGGAGGCAGATGGCTCTCTATGAGTTTCACTACACAGTGAAGCCCTATCTCAAGGGAAAAAAAAGATACAAGACTATGCCAGGGAGTTAAAGTACCCCTAAACCTGAAGACTTCACTAGGGGAAAGATGACGGCCTTCTCTGCACATGTGCCCCCTGCAAGGACACCACTGACACCGGTTTGAGCTGTCTCAGCTAATTGACCACCCCCGCCTTTTCCATCCTCTCTTCTTCGACTCCCCTCCCACATTCAGGACCCTGAACTGGCTTGGCCGGAGAGACCAGCACTATGTCCTTTTTGCCCTGTTTTGGGGACCAGTTGGTCATTCTCTCCCAGAGCTAACTTTCTTCCTAACAATGCTAGGGCTGGGCCCGGGGCCTTGCATGCACCGGACAAGCATTTGGTCACCCCAGTTCAGAGGAACTGTTCTTACTGTTGCTGCTGTTGTAGTTTCTCCCACTGAAAACTCACCAGCCAGTAAGTTGTCTGGCCATGGGGCTGTGTTTGCCCATGGGGTCGGGATTATCACACAGAGGGCAGCAGGGCTTTAAATGGGGCTGAGACTGTGACACTTGCAACATGCCTGAAGTAGCTCATCCAAGGACGGGGTCTCGAGAGTAGGCATGGTGGTGGTGAAACCTCCCAGTGTGCCCACAGCTGTCCTGCCAGACTCTCCTGCCTCCTGCCTGGTACGGCCAGACCAGACAGGAGAGGAACTGTCTAGACTGTGGGTGTCCATTCAGGAAGACAGGTTCATGGTAAGGATGCAATCATGCCGTGTTCAGAGTGGAAAGCTCGCTTGTCTGGTGTGGTAATGTCATGGCACTTACAAGCTGCCACCTGTAGGAGGCGCTCTTGGCTGCACTCGTGTGTTGGTACAGCTCACCATGCGTGTTAAGTGACAGGGACAAGGGAAGGCAGCATATAGAGCAGGCAGCAGAGTGGGGAGATAGCCCACACCCCGGGCCGGTAAGCCAGCTGGCCTTCGCCATGCTCTCCTGTGGGACCCAGCAGCCTGGGCTGGTCCACAGCAGCCATTTGTTGATCTCACCAGTCCAGACCTTCCCCTGGCCAGTGCCCAGTGCTAGTGCTCTGGCCCACAGCTGACTGGCACTCCTCTCATCTCCAGGTCCCCTGTCAGAGCTCCACTATCCCATTGACAGCCTGACCAAGAAGCCCAAGGGTTTTGCGTTCATCACCTTCATGTTCCCTGAGCACGCAGTGAAGGCCTATGCTGAGGTAGATGGGCAGGTCTTCCAGGTAAGTTTGCTCAGGGCTAGTCAGATTGCTGGGCTCAAGGAAGCAGGGGTGTGTGTGTGTGTGTGTTGTGTGTGTGTATGTATGTATATATGTGTGTGTGTTGTGTGTGTATGTATATATGTGTGTATGTATGTATACATGTGTGTGTGTGTGTGTGTGTGTTGTGTGAGCTTTTAGAGGGTGGAGTTTCTAAAAGCAGGGGTCTGTCTGTGGCAGCCCGGCACACGCTGGGTACTTACAGAGTATTTGTTGAGTGAAGAGTGTGCCCTTTGTCTCCTGAAATACTTGTTGGCAGACAGTGAAGTGGGAAGCAGGTAGCCAAGGCGTGCCCAAGCACCTCAGGCTGTCTGCCATGGTGACAGGAAGTGCATCCAGCACACCTGCCTGAGTCCCTGGCTGCCTGGTTTATAGATGTCACTGTCATCGGGCTAGACCTGTATCCACCTGTGGACGCCTCATGTTCTCTCACTGGGTAGGGACAGACAGGACAGGATGCAGGTTTGTGGGGCTGCAGCTGTCCTTGATAAGTGAACAGTTTCCAGAGCTGGAGAACTCAGGAGGCAAAAGCAGGTGGATCTCTGTGAGTTCAAGGCCAACCTGGTCTATATATAGTTTCCAGGCCAGCCAGGGGTATATAGTGAGACCCCGTCTTAAAAGACAGGGAAAAAAAAAGAAGAAAAATGAACATTTCCTCCAGAGGATCAAAGTTCAGTCCCTAAAGCTGTGTTGGATCACACACCAACCACCTGTAACTCCAGCTTCAGAAGATCTGACACCCTCTTCTGACCTCCAGAGACACCCTACACACATGTGCATATACATACAGTCAGGCTCAGGCACACACCACGTGTACATAAATTAAATTTTTTTGAACGTGAACAGTGTTTACTGCACGTGGTGGTGTCAGCTGACCTTACTACAGTGATCGGCCTTGTGTCACATGAATGTCTTAAACTCTAAAGAGTTTACTGGGGGCTTACAGTTTCAGGGTGTGAGTCTGACCGTCATGGTGGGAGCGTGACCGCAGGCAGGCATGGTGCCAGCGCAGTAGCTGAGTGCTTACCTCTCCAGCCACAAGCATGAGGCAGAGAGAAAGCTAACTGAAGATGGTGTGGGCTTTTGAAACCTCAATGCTCCCATCTAACAAGGCCACACCTCCTAATCCTTCTCAAATAGTTCCACAAACTGGGGGCCAAACTTTCAAATCTATGAGCCTCTGAGGATCATTCTCATTCACACTACCACAAACCACAAGGTCTTTCTGCTGTCTCCCTCCAATCATACGTGGATCTAGTGCACTTGTGACCAGAAGAGGTGTTTTAGGGCTTCTATTGCTGTGAAGAGACACCATGACCATAGCAACTCGTGTAAGGAAAACATTTAATTGAGGTGGCGGCTTACAGTTTCAGATGTTTAGTCCATTATTATCATGGTGGGGATCATAGCAGTGTGCATGCAGACATGGTGCTGGAGAAGGAGCTGCTACATGTTGACATGCAGGCAGCAGGAAATAGACTGAATGTCGCACTGAGGGAAGTTTGAGCATAGGAGACCTCAAAGCTCACCCCCACAGTGACACTTCCTCCAACAAGGCCACACCTATTCCAACAAAAATCATACTTCCTAAAATCACACCTTCCTTTGGGAGCCATTTTCCTTTAAAGCACCACAAGTGACATCCTTTAGGGAAGAACCTGTTTACATCCTCCTTCCATTCCCTCCAGGGCAGGATGCTCCATGTCCTTCCTTCCACTATCAAGAAGGAAGCCAGCCAGGAGGCAGATGCCCCGGGATCCTCTTACAAGAAGAAGAAGGAAGCCATGGACAAAGCCAACAGCTCCAGGTCCTAGTCAGCCCTCAGTGGCCGCTGAGCCCTGGTCCCAGGTTCCACTGCCCTTGGCCCCGTCTCTCACTCTTCGTGGTGCTAGAGTCCTAGTTCAGCCCTTCTCAGGGCCTCAGCTTTCCCACTTGTGAGACATGGAGAGCAGAAACAGCGTCTCCCATGACCTGCAGCATAGCGTGCCTCGGAGGAGGGGTGCACGGAGTCCCTGCCCAGAGCTAGGACTGAGACTTGGCTTGAGAGACTGTTAGTGACCCCCTCGGTCTCCTGGTCTTCAGACCTCGTGGGCTTGGTTCGTGGCCTGGAGTTGGAGGGAGGGGACCACTCTGTGACCTCTGTTCTGCCCCCGCTCCTCAGCTCTCACAACTGGAACACGCTGTTCATGGGACCAAACGCCGTAGCCGACGCCATTGCACAGAAGTACAACGCCACCAAGAGCCAAGTGTTTGATCACGTGAGTGAAGGGGCTCTGCGTGTGGTTTATTTCAGATCAGTTCTTCCATGGGGCAGGCGTCTGGACCGGACAGCCGCTGAGTTGGTTATCTTAGGCTTGTGGCCCGGTCAGCAAGGGTGTCTGTTGATACTGCTCATAGCTCCTCCTCCCTGTCACAGGGTCAGCACTGTCCCTGGACACCGAACACCACCACAGATGTGGTAGTTAGTAATCATGTTTCAGAGAAGCAAGCAGGGTTCATTTTCATGACGTTTAAAGTCAGGCTATCTAAAGTACTCCTGTTAGGACATGTGCCCAGTATAAAACAACCCGAGCCATTTTCCCGTCTTCCTTTGGTGCGGGTGTGCATATTTTCCAGTTGGCGTGGGACTGAATGGTGACAGGGCCGCTGTTTTGAGCGGCCATAGCCTGGCCTAAGTTAAGAGGGACAGTTTGCTTTGGTTCAGATGTCAGGAACCCAGCCTACTCAGGACTGAAGGGCACCTGCTCTTCTGGTGCCCTCTAGTGGAGAGAGACACAAATGACAGGTGACAAGAGGCTAAGATAGGAGCCTGGCTGAGGCTGAGGTGGATGAGTCTGAAGCCCCTGCAGGCAGTGAGCTGTAAGAACACCAGGGCCAGCTACCTGAGGAAAGCCAGGGGAGGGACCAAGCAGTCCAGAGTTTACTGCACAAGTCCAGAGGAGTCTTAGTCCTGGGAGCCTCAGCATAGAGAATGATGCACGTGGACCACACGCATTTCCCTCTGAGCCACCTACTGACAGCTCCAGGCTTCTTCCTCCCACAGGAGACCAAGGGCAGTGTGGCTGTGCGTGTGGCTCTGGGGGAGACCCAGCTGGTCCAGGAGGTTCGCAGCTTCCTTATCGACAATGGCGTTTGCCTGGACTCTTTCAGCCAGGTGAGTCCCTCACTGCACGTAGTGGCCACTACAGAGCCGGGGAAGGGTTTCCCGGGAGGGAGGCTGTGGAGATGTGCATGGATCCTGTGGGTGAGGGGAGCCTGAACCAAGAGGAGGCCTGCAGGAGTGGCCCCTCAGAATATCCCCTGCAGAAGGTCGGGTGTACCCAGCGATGAAAGCCTCCAGCTATTCCTGCCTTCCACACCTGGGCAGCAGGTCCGCAGTGCCAGCAAGGAACCTGAGCACTGAGATGTGGCTCTGTCCTTTGGAAACCCACTCTGGGTGTTCCAGTCCGGATTGAGATCAGGAACTGTTGGAATCTGTGTGGCTTGGGGTGAACTGGGGGAGGTGTGGTTCCGTCTATGGGGCGTGAAGTGCACAAGAAATAAACGCGTGAGTCCCGTGTACCCCCGACCCCCACCAAGCCCCTCAGCTCTGCTTTTCAGGCTTGTCCACCAGGGGCCCTGATGGGGCCACCACCAATGGTCAGTGCTGAAACCATGCTGAGGTCACCTAGCTGTTGTCACACACGTTCATCTCTTCCCCTCAGGCTGCAGCAGAGCGAAGTAAGACTGTGATCCTGGTGAAGAACCTCCCAGCAGGCACGCTGGCAGCAGAACTCCAAGAGATCTTCGGCCGCTTTGGCAGCTTGGGCCGTGTGCTGCTGCCTGAAGGTGGCATCTCAGCCATCGTAGAGTTCCTGGAGCCCCTGGAGGCCCGCAAGGCCTTCAGGCACCTGGCCTATTCCAAGGTATGGCCGCTGATCTTGGTGGGGCCCTCAGGCTGGCATGGGCCTGGCACACATAGGCTCTGTCCGAGTCCACATTCTGTCTAGGAGCTTGCTGCCCTCCCTGTGCTGGCCGTGAGCTGTACCTGAGGCTGCCTCCTGACTTCTGATTAAAGAAAAATTAGTAGGTGTGAGCTTCTTGGGCTACTGTAGCAAGTGGCCACCAACTTGGTGGCATCAGACAACTGAGTCTGGGCTCTCCAAAACTGGCGACCAGGAGCCCAAGACACCAAGCAGCAGGTTCTTTTTCCCCTCTACCAGCTGCAGGACAGAGTGTGTCCCCTACATTCTTGCTTCTGATGACCCCAGTGACCGTCACTCCAGTCTCATCTTTGCTCAAACCATTCCTCCCTCTGGACTTTTTGTTTTGTTTTGTTTTTCAAGACAGGGTTTCTCTGTGTAGCCCTGGCTGTGCTGGAACTCACTCTGTAGACCAGGATGGCCTTGAACTCACAGAGATCTGCCTCTCTGCCTCCCTGGTGCTGGAATTATGGGTGTCTCTCTCTCTCTCTCTCTCTCTCTCTCTCTCTCTCTCTCTCTCTCTCTCACACACACACACACACACACACACACACACACACACACACACCGGCAGGGAGGTTTGTTTGTTTGTTTGGTTTGGTTTTTATATTAAACTTAGAGCACACTTAGCACAGGATAGTCTCCCTCCAGAATCTGGTTCATATTGCAAAGATCATAGTCACAGGCTCTAGGGCTCAAGGTCAAGATGTGACCTTGTCTTGGGAAGCCACCATTCAGCCCAGGACAAGGAATTTCTATCTCTCTGAGACTTTTATGCTTCATAGACCTCAGTGTGACCTGAGTCTCCACGGGCTGTACTCTGGCATCTCGCTGTACAAGGGTTCTGGGACTGGCCTATGCAGGACGGGCTCCGTGCCTGTCCCCTCTGGCCCTCAGGCCCTTCTGTCAGGTGGCTAAGTCTCCAACCAGCTCTCTGATGGGGACCTACAGCCTTGGCACCCCTGTCCCTGCAGTTCCATCATGTCCCCCTGTACCTGGAGTGGGCTCCAATTGGTGTCTTTGGTGCAGCCCCGCAGAAGAAAGATTCCCAACCTGCGCAGACTGCGGAGAAGGACAAGGCAGAGCCAGAGACCGGTAAGAGCAGAGTCTGGGGTCACCATGCTGTGGGCAGTCGTGGGAAGAGGGTGAGGACAGCTGAGACTGTCATTGGGCCACTGGCCACATCGATGCCCTGCATTCTTCCTGCAGAGAGATTGCCTAGGAGTATCAGATGCTCTTTAAAAAGTGAGCCACATGAGGTGGCCAACTTTCAGCCTCTTGGTGGAGGGCTGTAGGAACAGAATCTTTGAGTAATTGACAGGGATGAAAGAGGCTGTGTGAACCTTGTCTCCATCACTAAGATGGCTGCTGGAAGACATGGTCCCTCTGCAGCAGCTTGGGTGTCACAGTGCCCCTGGTGTCCAGTGGCTGCATGATCAGAAAAGGAAAAGGCAGTGGTTCCCCTTAGCTGGTGCCTCACTGTGGTGGGGACAGGTGCATCGATGATGTCAGGGTCAGGATCACTCTACCCCGTCCAGACTGATGGCTCAGCAGTGCTGTCACTCTGAGAACCTGAAGCATCCAGGTGTCGTACCAGGGTCACCCTGGCCAGTGGACCAGCAGATGTGAGGGTTGTCATGAGCATCAGATCCCCCTGCCTCCACTCTTCAGTGCTGGAACTACACCCATTTCCTATGGTCTTTGTATATTAATGTGTATGGGCATAGGACTATATTGCCCCAAGAAAAGCAAAGGCCAGTATTGAGGCTGGCAGATGGAGGCTCAGATTCTTGCCCGGGTCGAGTGACATCTCTGCTCGCTCCACAGAGGGTCTGCCAGAGGCCATGGTTCCAATTTTGGGAAGGCATTTCTGTCTCTGCCATTTGACCCTGACACTCTCTGGTTGTCAGGTTGGTGTAGCTGGTGAGACCTTTTACACACCCTTTCCTAGTTTCTGTTAGGAGGCAGCATGGTTGTCTGTCAGACCAGAGGTTCCCTCAAGCCTGCTTGTGATAAGTCGAGAGACATCCCTTCTCACAGCCCTGTGTTTGTTTTTACATTAGAGTTGAGGGCTGGAACCTCAGGCGGTGGATGTTCTGCAAGTGTTTAGCTCTGATCTGCCCACCTCTCTCTGGGTTAGTTCTTACCCCATATCACCCCTGGCCTCCAACTGCCTTCCTTCTTGGCTCTCAACTACACTTGAACCTGGGCGATACGTTTTGGCATAAAGCAAATACTGTTGTCAAGCATGAAAATTAGCCAGGGCCAGGGTTCCTAGAGACACACCCTAGGAGGCCCATCATCTGACTGGGCGGCAGTGTCAGCCTGTGAGGCACTGAGCCACCCATGAAGATGGTGTGTGGCTTTGCCCACCTGTCCTGATATATTTCTCCTGATGCAGTACCCCCCCCCCCCCCCGCCGTCAGGTGATACTAGTTCAACACCGGAATCTGCACACTGTTTCTCCCTGTTTGTTCCTTAGCCAGCCTATCACTGCACCCTGGGTGCTCACATGCAGCCCTAGGCATAGGGCAGGGTCAGCAGGACGGCGTCAAAGGTAGAGGGCTGTGGGAAGGCTGTGCTCCATCCCTCTGCAGGGAGGGCTGACTTATGGTGGTGCTTGTGCCTGAGCCTCTGGCACACATGAGGTTTGAAACAGGCTTCAGGTGTTTGGTGGTCCCAACCAGTGAGTGGTCAGGACACAGAGGTGTGAAGGTGACTTTAGGTGATGTGGCTGAGCCCCTGAGTGGTCAGGACACTGCGGTGTGAAGGTGACTTTAGGCGATGTGGCCTGAACCCCTGAGTGGTCAGTGGGATCCTGAGGTACAGTTACAGCAGTGGCATTGTTCTGGGGAGATGCACGTGCCGTCCAGTGTTCCTTGAATTGACTGGGGAGCGTCTCCTTTTTCTGAGTTCTGTCTTCGCGTCTGTAACATGGATGATTGCCACCAGGATGACCAAGGTCACTGTTGTCACCCACAGGCTGGGAGCCAAGTGGCATTTCTGCAGGTGCTCTTGAGACACAGAGCCTACTCGCCAGAGCTTTTATCTGGCCTGGTAGGGCTGAGTAGTGTCAGTGGCCTTGGGTGCAGACCTTTCTCTGGAACTAGAGGTTTCCTGACACCAGTGTCCGGGGTCTGGATTGGTTTCCTGTGGCCTTGTCCCCTCAGGCTCTGACCCTGGGAGGGGCTGGTTTCCAGGGCCACAGCCTGTGACCTGCACCAAGGTCCTCAGATCTAGGAGAAGGCCGAGTTACTCACCCTTTCTTGGACTGGGAAGCTGTCCCTGGCTGTAGCCCTGCCCAGGCCCACTGTGTCCTGTGGCTCTTTTTATCCTTGTTTTACTACACAGTCCTCTTTCTGTCCCAAGTCCTCCAAGTTCCATCCTGTGCCCCCTCACCCTCTGCCCATTGCACATTGTTTCTGAGGCGCCACCAGCTCTCCCATCCCTGTGGGGTGAGGACCCAGAGTGCCGGGGATCCAGACTAGGATTTCACAGGCTAGGAGGAGGGGGATGGGCAGGCTTTTCTGCCTTGAGCTTCTGTTCCCTGCATGGATCCCGTGGGAGAGGAACAACGTGTTTTATCTTCCCACAACCAAGACCCTCACCTCCAGATAAAGGGCTGTGAGTCAGGGGAGGTCCCACAAAGCTGCTGGCTGCTGATAACAGGCTGTCGCTGTGGGCCTCACAGGAGCCTGGAGTTGGGAGGGGCAGGGGAATCCTGCAGCCTGGTTATAATGGCGCCCCCTGTGGCCACCCATGACTGCCTGTCATTGTACTGACTGAGGTGGAGGCGGCTTTTTCCCTGCTCCTCCCAGACCCTGCAGCGCACCTTGTATCTAGCTTCTCACCACAGCCCCAGCCCTTGCCCAGCCCTCCACCTTTCTTACTCCCTCTCTCTGGTTCTTCTTGCTTCTCTTATCATCCATTTGAATTTCATGATACCTTTTTTTCCTTTCTTTTGTCACTTGGGGCTGAAGCAGGAGCAATTCTTTTAAAGACCTTGTTTTCACCTTCCTGGTGTTTCAGCCACCTCCAGCCCGAGGCCACTGGAACTGTTCTGGCCAGACACTTAGGAGTAGATGCCAGCCGTGCTGAAACGTCCCCTATCTTCTGAGGCTGGGACTAGGAGTAGCTAGCCTGCTACTTTGATACAGACCACAACTTTTCCTAGCTTAATTTGTTACTAAAGCTGAATGTCGTCTCCCTGTGACCATCTGATCGTGCTCTGAGGCACAGGTCAGGGATGAGAGGAGGGTAGGGTCAGCAGTGGGGCCCAGGCCAGGGCGCAGAGCATGAGGCCAGCGAACTAGTTCCTTTGCTGGCCCCAACTGAGGATGAAGGCTAAGTGCTACCAACTTAAGTTGCAAGAATTGATAAACTGGCTTTTTAAAAACAGCTTTTTATTCCTCAGAACTCGGCCTCTCTTATCATACTGAGGTGAATCCCCAAGTGTCAGACACTGACCAGTTCCAAGAAGGGATACCCACTCTAGTGGGCGCCGCACCACCCGAGCCGTCATCTTCCTTACCATCTTCCCTGTGAAAATGGCTTTCCTGATTCTGATGAACCCTTGCACCAACCTGAGACTGCTTGATGGTCAGGGTTCAGACACAGAAGCCTCCAAAATATTCTTTAGGCTCTCATGTTTCCTGAAGCAGCAGCTCAAGGTCTTGGCACACATGTTAGAGATGTCACAAGCCTCCTCCTTTGAGTCTGAGGCAGGCTGGTGCAGGGGACCGTCTCTGTCCGAGGCTGTGCTCCTCCTGAGTCTTCCCCAGGACCGGATGTCCCCACCCCATCATGAGTCACACTTTTCCTCCACTTGGCTTTGTGTGTACAGGCAGCTGCACTGCGGTGGCATTGCTGGGAGACACACCTGATGGCTAAGGCTTGAGTCGGAGTTCTGGGCCAGGCTCATAGTTGAAGGTGCAGCTGTGTCCCCCACTGTTTCAGAGAGGTGGCAGGGTCACTGCAACATTGCCATTGGGCTTACCAGAGTGAGGCTTTCAGAAAGGATGGGTGCCGGGACGGAAGCCCCACTCGCAGACGACTCTCTGACAGCCGTTCTTCTGGGGGCTTTGAGTTGAATCCCTTGAGTTCAGAGTTAGTGAGAAGGGTCTGTTCCATCCCCGTTCTGCAGTTTTGAGAAATTCAAAATTGAATTTTAATCTGAAAGTTCACTAAGCACCCTGGGTTTTTGTTTGGTTGTTTTTGAGGAAAAGTAACATTTTGCTTGTGTTCCTGGTTAAAGTAGTTCGTGTAGTCATGTAAAGTTAAGTTAGAGCAGCCTGGGCCTGTTCAGCATTCAGAGTTTTGTGTTCAGTATCTTTTCTCTCTCAAATGGAGCCGACTGCAGGGCATCTGTGTGTCTGCCTGCCTGTCTTATAGCTCTCTTCCTCTCCTTCTCCCCTCTCCCTCCTTCCCTCTCTTCCCCCTGCTGAAACCCTACAGTGCCCGCAGAACCCCTTTAATCTGGCAGGTTCTACGCTCCATTTAGTCTCAGAGACTTCTGTGCCTTTGCAATGACTCCATGTAATGCACTGGTTTGTCTGTTGATGGGGCCAGCACTCGACCCCCAAGGTGAAAAGCCGTCAGGGGAAGGAGCAGAGGCCCCCACAGGCGAGATGGCAGAGGAGGAGGAAGAGGAGGAGGAAGAGGAAGAAAGTGTCCCAGGATGCACTTTATTTATTAAGAACCTCAACTTCAGCACCACAGAGGAGACGCTGAAGGAAGTGAGTGAGATTGGGGGTGGGGAGGCAGAGGGATGTGAACCCCAGTCTGTGGCCTGATGACAGCACACTGTCTGCCCTGCCTATAACTCTTGGGCCCCCTCGTTCTCCTCAGAGGCAGGTCCTCACAGAAGGGAGTGGTGGCAGCTGTAGTCTGTCTGGAAGGCAGCCGGTGACGGGTGTGTATCTTTGCAGGTGTTTTCCAAAGTGGGAGCCGTGAAGAGCTGCACCGTGTCCAAGAAGAAGAGTAAAGCAGGTATTTATCCCCTGACTCCACAGGAGCGCTTCCTGCAGGAGCCCATGAGGGAGGGAGAATGGGACGCCACCGAGGCCTCTCCTCTTTGCTTTCCAAGTGTTACCACCCTCTCTAAATTGGTCACTGCCCTGCTTCAGGCCTCCTGCTGAATGCACTGGGTCCTTTTCTTTCTAGAACTTTCCCCAAGAGTGTGTGGCTTTGGAATAGTTCCACAGAGGCAGCAGTGTGGAGCAGAAACCTCTGCCTCCTCTTTTACCTCTGTGTTCTGGAACTTTCCTGGGCATGCCAAGGAATGGCTGGCCTTGGACTCTTCCTCCTGCTTTTCCAAGGGAAATACCCAGAGACAAGTTCTAGAGCATTCTACCGATTCATTAATCCTGATCCTCCCTGGTCAGTGGACACATAGGCCTCATATCTTTCTTTGGCCCAGGGATTATGCTGAGTCTCCTAGCGGTCCTCCTCCTGGCTTCCTGCAAGGGATGGGCAGGGCCAGGCATCCCCATCCAGAGTTTCTTTGGTTAGCCAGGATTGGTGGAATTATCCTATGGGCTGGCCCAGCCTTGGATCCTCCCCGTAGATGGCAAGCAGCCGATTAACTTAAAGGTGCCTGTCCCCAAGAGTGTCCAGACTCTGGAGGACTGGGGGGCCAGTGAGTATAGCACGGGGCTAAGGGCTGTGGTGGGCGGAAGCCCTGCATGGCAGTCAGTGCTTATCACCTGAAGAGAGACAGAGCCCTCAGATGGCAGAGGACGCAGTATGGGGAGGTCTGGGAGAGTGGGCAGAGTCCAGGGATGAGGTGACTCATATGCCCTACACATTAGTTAGCGGGGAGCCACTGAGGTGTAAACGGACGTACTGGAGAGTCAGAGGTCCATTGCACCCTTCCACTCAGGTGGCTGTGACAGAGTCCTAACTTGGGGGTTAAAGTCATGAGTGAATCATCTCACTGTGGTTGAGACTGGAAATCCAGTGTGGTTCCTGTGGGGAAGGAACTGTCCAGTCTCCCGCTTCCCCTGCTCCCCCATCCCCTAGCCTGTGGGTAGCCACCTCCAGGCCCATATAGCATTCTGGTTGTATATGCCTGTCCTGGGTTCAAATTTTAGCCTATTTTGGAGGCAGGGTCTCTCTCTAGCCCAGGCTGGTCTTGAATATCATAGCCTCCTGTGTTGGGATAATAGGCATGCGTCACTGTCTGGCCTCCCCCAGTTTGTAAAGGACCTTGGCTGTGCTGGATTATGGATTAGGGACTCTGATGACCTCACTTTACCTTAGTCAAGAACATGTCTCAAGCAGGGTCCCAGTCTAAGGAACACTGGCTTCCACACAAGCTCCTGGTGCACACAGTACTGTCTGCTGTCCCTGGTCTTCAGGAACCTCACACCAAGTATATACACACCAATATTTACGACAGTGTACACATCCAGACATGGCTGTTCTTAAGGCATGAGTCCGGTAGAATGTCCTCAAGAACTCCTGCTACTTGAACTATTCCTTACTCCCTAGAACAGGAAAGAGCCATGGTCAGCCTCCCTGTCCGGACTTTGTTTCCAGGACCCAAGTGTGATCAGTAGCATGGCCAGCCTCCCTGTCCGGACCTGTCACCCAGGACCCAGGTGTGATCAGTAGCATGGCCAGCCTCCCTGTCCAGACCTGTCACCCAGGACCCAGGTGTGATCAGTAGCATGGTCAGCCTCCCTGTCCGGACTTTGTTTCCAGGACCCAGGTGTGATCAGTAGCATGGTCAGCCTCCCTGTCCAGACTTGTCACCCAGGACCCAGGTGTGATCAGTAGCATGGTCAGCCTCCCTGTCCGGACCTGTCACCCAGGACCCAGGTGTGATCGGGTGGCAGATGTCCGTAGAAGAGATAACCCGCTGCACACACCCACATTCGCCCCTGCCTCGTGCATGGCGGACCCTGGCCAGCTTGAGGCTTCATTGCTTGTCGCAGCTATTTCTGGTTATTTCTGTTAGGAGGAAGTTAATGTCATGCCAGTTATCTGCCAGGTCCTCCTAGCCAAGGCGGCCCCAGGCAGCAGCCCCGCAGCCCCACTGCCGTCTCAGCCGGAGCTGAGGTCTTCTTTTGAAGGACGAGGGTGTGAGGAAGGGAGAGGCACTAAGTTTAGGTCCCTCCATGGAGTCTTTACAAGTGATCCTGTGCCAGCTCCACCCACACCCCCCCTCTGTCCCTCTTTCCCTCAGGAGTGTTGCTGTCAATGGGATTTGGGTTTGTGGAATACAAGAAGCCAGAGCAAGCCCAGAAAGCCCTCAAGCAGCTCCAGGTAAGCCAGGGGCTCTGGGCCATCACGGTGAGACCATGGCCCAAGAAAGACTAAGACCCCACCCCACCCCCCCCCCCGGTCACTCTCACTCATTTATCTTCTACCGTGGTTCCAAACATACTCGCTCTAGTTCTTGGGCTCTTTACAGAACATCTGACCCACCAGAGCCACACGTAAGCTGGGCTCTGACTGCAGTCCCTAGACACAAAGCCAGTGCATTAGCAAAATGACCCTGGAAATCCCTCAGCTATCCAGGAAATACAGCTAGTGGGACTGTGTTCACATGCAGGCCATCTGTCTATCATTTTCTCTCAGACCATGACTGTGAACTAGACTCACTCCTTCCTCTGCTGGGAAAGGCGGGCTCTGACCTGAACAAACGTGCAAAGGCAGCGTCACAGGTGCTCCGTGATAATAACGCCTCCCCTGGGGAAAACTTCAGAAAACACAAAGAGCGCTCCTTAAGAAGACAGCTTTTTATACCTGTCTGTCACGGCAGAGAAATCATCTGTTCGGAGCTCTGGGAGGGAGCAGCTAGGAGGTGGGGACGGCAAGTGCAGAGACCTGTGGCAGGAACAGGCAGGAGTGAGCTTTGTATGTTGGAGAGGCAGAGGAGGAGCTCGGTGTATGGGGGCAGAATGGGGCCAGGGCTCTGGGAAGGTGGTAGACCTTCTTATAGGTCCTTTGAAGGGCTAGCATCTGACCCAAAGGCAGTGGGAGACTGAGGCTCTGAGCTGAGTTTTAGCACAGTTTTCTGAGTCGCAGTGAGGAGCATGGATAGTCTGGAGGTGAGTGGGGAACCCTTGCACCCCTCACAAGATATCACCCTGGTGTCTAGACAAAGAGATGGGGCCTGCAGCAGCTGACACACAAGAGAATCTCTGAGCTACGTAATAGACCCTGTCTCAAAAAATAAATAATTAAATAAAGACAGCTCTCTGCATTGGCAATCATCTCAGGCCATGTAGGGCAGAGGCCATAGCTCCGCACATGCCGTGTGAAGTTTTGTGGGGCTTTTTGTTTGTTTAAACTAGAAATCTTTCTTTGTTCCTGCAACCTATGTCTTCATTTAACTCACATTCAGCTCAGCAAATGGCGGTCCATATCTTTTCTTTCATGTTTCTCAAGAGTTGGTAGCCGGGCATTTGCATGCATGTCGTGTACTGTTCTGTGCATGAACGTGTGTGCACATCTCTGTCAGGGATCGTGCGTCCAAAGCCCCACACAGTGTGTTTCCTGGGATAGCTAAGGGATTTCCCAGGGTCACTCTGCTAATGCACCAGCTTTGCAGCTGGGGCCTGCAGTCAGAGCCCAGCATACACATGCCTCGGGTTAGAATGTTCCATAAAGAGCCTGCAAATTCGAGCGAGCTGTCTGCGTGCTAGACCTGCAGGCTCCTCTCTCTGAGATGGGCAGCCAGGAGATCAGGAGTACGTCAGGAGGCTGGGTCTCTGGCCACCTGCTGCTTGTCTGTGGAACAGCCTTTCTGTTCAGGCCATCCCTGTCCTCAAACCAGGGACCGGATGCTGGGGAAGGGCAGCCATGGGTAAGTGACCAGTCATGGTCGTTTTGTGTTCCAGGGTCACGTCGTGGACGGCCATAAGCTGGAAGTGCGAATCTCTGAACGGGCCACCAAGTGAGTCCTCGGGCGTCTCCCCTTCCCTTGCTGGGTGGCAGCTCTACATCTGACCTTGGTGCTGATTATTAAAATGCCTTCTCACACCCAATTCCTCCCCTTTGGGGTTCTTCCCAATTAAGCTTTCACTTGCCAGCTTTGATACCGACTTCCCCGCCCGGCCAGACCAATAAGCGTCCATCTCCTGGGTAGAGAGCTGAGACAGGCAGACATGTTTTTAAAATAAAGGAGCAAGTGGGGCTAGAGTGTAGCTCAGGAGCAGAGTGCTAGCCCGGAGTGCACAATGTCCTCTCTCGTGGGGCTCCTTCTCATGGCCCTCCTTATGGGACAGCAGCAATGAACTGCATTGACTAGGAAGTCAAGCAGTTTGGGAGAGAAAGTAACTTCAGTCCCTGTTACCTCGAAGTGGAGGACAGGCTGACTTACTCTGTTTTCATTATGGCCCCTTCAGTAGGCGACTTGAAATGACAGGGAGGTATGTTTTGTGGGGGAAGGTAGCAGGGTTTGTCTAGGTGGAAACAGTTGACACCTCAAATAACCCGTTGTTTCTGCCGTCTCACCCCAGGCCTGCCTTGACAACCTCTCGGAAGAAACAGATCTCCAAGAAGCAGACGACCTCCAAGATTCTGGTGCGGAATATCCCCTTCCAGGCCAACCAGAGGGAAATCCGGGAGCTTTTCAGGTGGGTCCCGCCCTGGGCTGTAGGCACAGCGCCCCCTGGAGGCTGGGAGGCCGCCTGGGTCCTGACTGTTTCTGTGCAGCGCAGTGGGGCTTTCCAAACTCTGCCGTTGATCTCATCGTGGTGCAGGAGTACCCTGGCCTCTCTGAGGCAAGAGGATGGCCAGGTGTCTGTCTGCACCCCAGGGCTGTCACTAAACTTGAGGGACAGCTGTTCTAGTGGCTGCAGCCTGTGGTTCCCCTGTAGGATTTACTGGCATTTCTTTGTGTGGGCTGTTTTTCCAGAGAGTCAGTGCCTTCAAGGCCCCAGACAGTGGGACCGTCACCTCAGCTTCCCACTCCCATCCCTGGGTAGGGGAATAATTGATGGGAATAAGACTATTGATCTCAGTTCGTCCCTGGGAAAAGCCATTTAGGGAAGACAGTGAATGTCCCTCATACAGCACACAGGCCATGGTCTCTGTTAGCACAGGAGGCTGACTTGGGGGCTAGCTAGGCAGGTGCTGAGACTCGGAGACAGACTGACTGGGCCGGAAGTGGAAGCTGCAGGGCTCCTCTCACCTGGCAGTGACACCAGGCAGGAACCTAACTAGATTTTGTCAGACCCATTCTGCTCATGGCTTCAAAGATTTGAGGGTTTTTGCTCAAACCCTCAAATTTGAGTTGTTTTTCAAGCTTAAATCCTCTCCCCCCACAACCTTTTTATTTCACGTGTGGGAGTATTTTGTTTTCCTTTGTGCACCGTGTACGTATAGTGCCCTAAAGGCCAGGGGAGGGCGTCAGATCCCCTGTACGTATAGTGTCCTAAAGGCCAGAGGGGGGCATCAGGTCCCCTGTATGTATAGTGCTCGAAAGACCAGGGGAGGGCGTCAGATTCCCGGAACTGGAGTTACAGGTGGGTGTGAGCCGCCATGTGGGCACTAGAAAAGAACCCAGGTCCTCTGGAAGAATAAACAGTGCTCTTAAACACCAAGCCATCTGTCTGGCCCCCCTTCAGTCAGAACTCTTACAGGGGAACCCAGAAGGACTTATGGACTCTTTAAAAACAACACACACAGGCCTCGGGCTGGCCACTCCACCATGCACAGTAGAGCATTTTGATTGGAAAGTTGTTGCTTAGATAGCTCCGTGCTGAGCCGCAGTTGAAGGAGACATTCCTGTGATCCCATGAGAAGGGAGTGCCGTGTGCCCTCAGAACACCGGTTGGGTGAGTTCACCCCTCCATGCGGGTTGCTGAGGCTCAGCTGGGGCCCTAGAGTACTTAGGGGCCTTGAGTCCCTCTCCTCTGCCGCTGCTGCAGAAGCCCAGGGAGGAGCTCTCGGCCCCTGCTTGTCACTTTCTCAGGTGGTGTGTCTGGTAGGATGACCTGTCAGCATCCTGCGAGGCACAGTGGCTGCAGAATGAGTGCGGAGTTGGAGAAGGATTTATCTTTGTGAGACTTGCGTCTTTACTCTTGCTGTGAGGTTAAGAGAGTGGGATGCTGTTTGGGGAATCAGCTTCAAAACCCTTCCCTTCTCTCTGTATTCTTCCCCGTCCCCTGGGGTGGGAGCGTGCGCAGCCGCGGTCAGCTGGATTGACGCCACAGACCTTCCCCTCTGAGTCTGAGCCGTGGAGCCTGGTGAGACAGGTCACAGTCGGGGGCAAGGGGGCATTTTTCACGTGCCCACATCCAGCGCATCAGCCCAAAGGGGAGTGAGAGCATTGGCTCGGTGCTTGTCTGCCGTGACTCTGCTTCTACAAAGAGTCCTGGCTCACCGCTGCCGCATCAGAAGGAATGCTAAGACCAGTGCGTGTTAATCGGGAGCCACATTCCTCGGAGGTGACAGTGTCAACTTGGTTCGACAGTGTGCTGGGGATGACATTTATCCAGGGGAACAAAAGATGGCAAGGCAAGGGAAGGAGCTTTGTTTGATCTGCATATTATACGTCTATTTAGTTGGCAGGGAATTAGTGTCTGCCGAATGTACTTACATGTGGCGTCTCTTCTGTCGGCCATTGTTCTCTCTGAGTGGTCATAAACCCTGAAGCTGGAATGCTCCTCCAGGACGGGCCCTGCCTTGCTTTTGTTAGCCTCCCAGCAGACCAGTTGCAGTGGTGGACAGCAGGGGTCACTGTGAGCCTTCCCAGGGATGCAAGGCTTGCACCTCAGGCCTGATTATAGACAAAGCCACTGGCCAGCAAAAGGTCACTAACTAAGGGGAGGCGTCAGGATTTGGAAGAACTGGTTGACTTACTATGTCAGGCAGGATTTGGGGGGACTTTTCCTGGTGGATATGATCAAAATCACAACCCACATTCCAGGCACATGCCTGTGTGCTGGGCTCTATGCCTGATACCTGCCACGCTGGATCTGCTTGGTGCTTGCAGCCTTGGGCGCGTGAGGACTTCTGCTGTGCCCAAAGGAAACTCAAGGCCGCATATCTGGGCCAGCATATGGCTTTCAGGGCCCTGACCCAGAACTTGGTCTTTGGAATCTGTTGTCCTCCTGGGTTTAGGAGGATTTGTCACCTTCACGTTGTTGGTGGGGATATACTGTGTGGTTTGTATGAGGCAGTGTGCTAGATGCCAGGGAACACAGCTGTATCAGGAGGGTTTGAGTCTCCTTTTTGCCGCTGCTGTCTGCAGAGGGACAGGGAAGAGACATGCGAGAACACGGGGCCTGTGGGGCAGGTCTTATCACCACCTGCCAGGACAGGACAGCATTCACTGGACCCTTTCTGGAGATCCATCAGTTCCCACAGTACCTGAGCAGGAAGGAGGCACTGTGGGGCCCTGTGCCCGTGGGAACCTCATTAGGAGTGATTGAGGAGGAGTCACCTTCAGACTGAGCCATCAGTGGGTGAGGACAGTGGTGCCTCTCTCAGGTGTCCATGTTCTGGGCCTCAGTTCCTGTCATATAATAACTGTGCTGATGCCGGTGGTGTGCGTATAATAACTGTGCTGTCATAACATGTAATGACTGTTACTATAGTCAGACACCAGGCGCTGGGCTGAACACAGTTGTCAGGATCCCCTGTTGCTACAGTCTGCAGTCATAACAGCCTCCATTTTCCAGGGAGAAGCTGCTCCCAAGCCCAGATCCCAGCCACTCCCTCACGTGTCCAGTGCCTCCAGCTGCCTCAGTTCCCTCCTGACTAGGTGGCTGCCCCCCAGGGGCTGCTAGAGGCTCTGAGGTTACCCAGAGGCCGCAGTCGTAGTGAAGTGTCCAGTACTGACTGTGGTTCAGCATCACCAGAACAGCAGGAGTGTGATTTAAACCCAGGGCCTGGCTTCAGGGAGAGCCTGTGTCTCTACCCACAGTGCAGGATCTTCGGAGGTTTTCTGTAGCTTTTTTCACTGTCTCTCCTTTCCCCGGGTTCTTGCCTCCCACACTGCCATTTTCTCTGCCGTCAGCCCGCAAGGATGCCTGAGGGACCCATGTGCTCAGTTCCCTCCACCCTGTAGAGCAGTGGTTCTCAACCTTCCTCATGCTGCGACCCTCAAATACAGTTCCTCTAACCGTACAGTTATTTCATTGCTACTTCATGACTGTAATTCTGCTGCTGTTAATGAATCGTAATATAAGCATCTGATATGCGACCTCTGTGAAAGGGTTGTTTGACACACACACCCCAGGGGTCGAGACCTGTGTGGCTGCGGTGCCCTTGAGGCCTCAGCTTCCCTCCCTTCAGGGTGGAGATAGAGAGCATGCCCAGCAGAACCACACAGAGGAGCCAGAGGCTCCCCTCGCCTCACTGGATTCCACAGCCTGAGGTTGGGAAGACCAGTGTCATGGGTCCAAGCTGGACGAGAAGGCGTGGGTGGCACAGCCTCTGCTGGCCTCCACATAGCCCCATACCAGGCACAGATCATCCGACAGTGCCTCTGTAGTTACAGCTGTGTAGGCCGAGCCCTTCCGCTTGCCCTTGGCTGGCTCCCTCCCACTCGGTCTGTTCGTTTCTCCCACTTTCTCCCAGCCTGCCTGCCAGCTCCCCTTTGACCTCGGCCCATGCAGTTACCTGCTTCTTGAACAAAAACCCTCCAGACTGTAAGATCAGATGCCATTGGAATCACACAGTGTGCATGGGAGTGTGCATGGGAGCCTGGTTCCCAGCGGGTACTCAGAAGATGCTCAGGGTATGTAGACCTACTGCACAGAACCTTACCCTAGAATGCTGATAAAATTGAAGCGTAGGAGGCACAGAGAGGGTTAACGGTGTGCCTAGGTCACACAGCTCTGTGGTGGTACAGTCAGCTCCCACTGTAGAGCCCACATCCTCCTGGAACTGTCCCTAAAGGGTAGGGATGTCCGCTACATTGGCTAGGCTCTGGCTCCAGATAGAACACAACTTTTTTTCCCCCTGCTATTTCCTCCTCAGAGGTGTGAGCCACCTGCTAGGGTGTGAATGGGCAATTCACAACAGGTGTCCGGAGCCCTTAATTACACGCCTGGGTCTCCTCAGCCCCGCACACCTGTTGTGCTGACTTTGTGGACAGCTCAGTCTGTCCCTGTGGGCTCATTTCTTCTCACAGTCACCGTGACAGTGGCAGGGAGGCTGAGGACAGACAGTGGCCTCCCTCCCCTGCCCGGGGCTGGGGGCTCTGCTGCACATCCATTCCTGCCAGTGTTTTCTAGAAGCTTCAAGCTCTTTGAGCTGCTCTGCACACAGTGGGTAGGATGAGGGGAGGGGCTTCGGGTTCCCCTGACTCTCTGGAAAGATGCCACACCCTGGGGCAGTGGTGTCCCTGCCTCACTGCCAGACCCACTTGTGCCCATCTGCACTTCATAGTGTACGGTCCTCTTGACACGGGCCTCACGCCGGCTCCTTCTCTGTCTTGGATGACGCCTGCAGAGATCTAAGAATGTCAGAATAATATTGCAGGTTCTGAAGACAGACGTTGGGTCCAGTGACGTGCTGGAGGTTGACAGAGCTAATCAGATGCAGAGGTGCATGTGGATCACAAGCTTGGGTGCCCACATATCCATGCCCTAGCCAGTGTGATTCCACATGGTTCCTGGTCCTG